GGCTCCCCCCCCCCCAATGAAGGCTGGTTGTCCCCCCCCCCCGCTTCTCCCAGGGAAGAAACGCCTTTTCCTTCCCTCCCCCAGGCAATGTTGTAGGAGCAGAACTAATCTGATGGCCTCCACCAGCCCCACTCCAACATTGTAATGGTCTTGCTTTGATCCTAGGAGAGGCGTGTGAGGATCGGGGCAAGGTGCATGACCCAGCCTGTGCCAATGGCTGCCCCCGGAGCTGTGTGGACCTCTGGGAGCACGTGGAGTGTCTGCAAGGAGAATGCAAGCCAGGTACCTCCCCTCCCCCCCCTCCCAAGGCCCCCCTCTGTGCTGCGCTGGCCACTCCAGGCCCTCAGCTCTCCCCGCTCAATCTATTCCCTGTCTGGCGCTTTCGACAGGGAGGTGGCACTTGACAGCCTCCAGCCACCCATTCCCCTTTCCCACGCCCCCAGGAAGCATTTTCTCTGCTGCATCCTTCCTTCTCTCCCTGTCCAGGCCACCTCCACTGGCCGCCTTTTGTCCTTTGCACCCAACAGCCAGAGGTCCTCGGAGGTTGGGTAGAAACCACTCACAGACCTACTTTTTCGCTACAGCTAGGGTTGCCAAGTCCCCGCTGTATGTACAGCGGGGGACTCCAGTGCTGCTCCGGGAGTGCGCACACGTGCGCCGCAACCACGTCACCCGGAAGTGACGCAACCACGTCGGGCATGCCGGGAGCGGGGCCACAATCATCCGAGGGAAAACCATAGAGTTTTCCCGCGGATGACTGCGCCCCCGCGCCCGATGCGACTGCGTCACTTCCAGGTGATGTGCTGACGCCAGGCACATCACATGCTTTGGGGGTGGGGTTCCCCCAGGGCCCGATCCGCCAGCAGCAGGTAACGGGCCTCTGGGGCGGGGTTTTCCCCGCCCCCCGGGGGGACTTGGCAAGCCTAGCTACAGCTGCCGTAGCATCCTGGGGCAGTGAGCTCCACAGGGCAATTGTGAAACAGATGGGGAAATGGCTCCTACCTTTGAGGTGCATCCAGGAATGGCACTCAAGACTTGGCAGTTTGAAAGCAATCGGTGGCCACCGCCTTCGTGTTTTCCTGATTCCAAAGACCTTCACGTTGAACGCCATGGGGAGGGGCACTCCTTCATGCCTGGCTTATCCCTCACCCGCCCTCTGCCCTCTCTAGGCTGCCACTGCCCTGAAGAGAAGCTCCTGCAGGACGGGGTGTGCGTGCCGGTCCCCACATGCCGCTGCGGACTCCCTACAGCCAACGGCACCCTGGAGTACCTGCCTGGGCAGGCTGCCAGGCTGGAGTGTCATAACTGGTAGGTGCCCTGCCAAGAGACCATCCGCACCCTGGGCCTGGGTGGGGACCATCACGCTAAGAATGCAACAGAACCACAGAGGTTAAACGAAGCTCTGTTCTTACAGCAAGAACTGAGGCACGGCGCCTGAAATTCTGTTCCAGGTGAAAATTCAGGACGGTTTAAAAGAAACTGTGGGTAAATCGACTTGCCAAGCAAGAACATGCTGTTAGGATTCCAGAGGGGTGGCCGCCGGGCAAATCGGTAGCAACAAACTAAAGAGGATTCTTACGCCACCTGTGTTGCAGAGGGCAGTTGAGCTACTCTGCAGGGGAAGATTTCTGGCGGTATGGGCCTGACCCGGATAGCCCAGGCTAGCCCGATCTCGTCAGATCTCGGAAGCTAAGCAGGGCCGACCCTGGCAAGGACTTGGATGGGCGACCTGCAAGGAATGCCAGGGCCGGGTCACAGAGGCAGGCAATAGCAAGCCACCTCTCTGAAACATCCAAGCCCCAAGAGGGGTCGCCAGAAGTCAGTCAGGAACTTCCAGGCATACAAACACACACACACACACACACACACAAAATATTCAGCAACAAAAAAAGATTTCTGGGAGTATGAGCTTTTAAGAGTCAACACTGTCATTGGGTTTCTGAGGAAGGGATCTCTTGGACTCTCAAAAGCTAACGCCCTGAAAAGTGGGAGAGGCTGGGACAGGGGGAGGGGCCATCCCACGCCGTGAATCTGGGGTGCTGTTAAGAGTTGTGAGTCAGCGGCCTGAATTGGATTGGTGGGCTGTATGACTTAGGGGGCAGGGGAGGTGCCGGCACCGGGATTTTCCACCCCACGTGCAACAACATCGCATACCATTTATGCTTTTTATAACTGGAGATTTTAACGCTTGAACCCATCCGTTGCAACAGAAGCTCCCAGCGCTTCAGCCAGGTGGCTGGTGAGCCCAGAAGGGGTCTTGTAAAGATCTGGGAGTGCCACATTCACATGTCGTTCCTCTGCAGCACCTGTGTGAACGGCACCTTTGAGTGTCCGGAGCAGGAGTGCCCATCCTACGGAGAATGGTCCCCTTGGAGCCCCTGCTCAGCCAGCTGTGGAGGGGGGAGTGCCCTAAGACACCGCCCTTGCCACGAGAGCCCCGGAGGAGCCCCCTGTGCTGCTGAAGACATGGAGGAAGTGGCCCAGTGCACCCCACAGCCCTGTCCTGGTGAGTTCTGTTGTACATATTAGATTCCATGTCAAAAATGAAGTCAAATGAGGAGGAAGTTCTTGTATTTTATTGTAATGAAATATGGAAAACAGTTAGGCCAAAGGACCCATCAAAACTGATTCCTTTCTTCTCAGCATAATCAGGAAACATGCCTCAATTAATAGGAAAACAATTAGACCAAATAGTTAACCAAAAATGGACAACTTTCTTCTTTTTCTTCTTCATCTTCTTCTAGAGCATATTCTGAACATATTCAGGAAATACATGATATTTTATACATGGACTGACATCATCATCATGGGAATAATATTCAAAAGGCATAATTGGTTACAAAAACTTTTACATAAAAATCTCCTTATTGGTCAAATGTAAGAAAGGTGTGTCTATGCAATAGTGCCACATATTTACTTGACATGACCTAAGGCATATCGGCTCAAGCTTGTTCTTACCCAAGCAAAAGTATTCATTACTGATACGAGACTAAAATCTTATCTGACCCAGACATTGAAAGGTTTGCCCTAAGAACTACAGAATCATGAACTTTGTACCTATTATGTTGTCTGCTAACAATATCAGACCTACAAGAGGAAAGCCTTCTAACAGGCCTTTCTAACATCCTAATAAAATATTACTTAAAGAATAAATCTATAAAAACCAGAGAAATATGAATATGAACAATCAAGAAGGAAAAACCTATATATGAAAATCTTTATATTCCCATTCATACTACAGTTCCAGCCTCCCATCTTTATGGCAAGCGAATGCTGATTAGGGATGGGCATAAACCTAACCACAAAGCAAAACTAGTCATGAATTTAGCGCTGCGCATGGTTCGCGGACAAAAGTTTGTGACAGGTCGACCGTCACAAACTTCCACGAACTTTTAAAGCAGTTTGTGGTGGTTCATGGATGGAGCAGAATGCAAAATTCATTATGAATTTTGGTCTGTTTAAACCCCTGCTCTCTGTTCCCTGCAAAAGCCACAGAAACAGCTGAGTTTCTGCCCCATAACTGCAAAAGCCACAGAAACCCTTGGCTCAGCTGTTTATCGGGTTTTTTGCAAACCCTGTTTAAAGAGACTGCAGTCCTTTTCAACGGGGTTTGTGGGGGCCGTGGACCAGGAACCACTTCAGTTTGTGAACAAACCTGGTCTGGTTTGGTTCATGTTTTGATTCATGGTTCGAAACCAAACACTAAACCTTTGTTTGGTTTTGGATTTCTTTGTTAGGTTTAGTTTTCTTTCCCTTTTTTGTCCCTGCTTGATTCATGGTTCGGCCATGAACCACTGCATTTTCCTGGTTTGTGCCCATTTCTAATGCCGACCCCAAGGCCCTGGCAATGCAGCTGGTTCCCTGGCCTCTTGACTATAATTTTATTTATTTAAAACAATTTTAGCCACCTTTCTTCCTTGCAGGACTTAATGCAGCTTACAATGTAAATAAAACAGCAATTATTTAAAAATGCATAAAAGACCACAATTCAAAACCGCCAGTTAGGACTACCAATAAATAAAAAGCTAAACTAGTCAAATGCAGTCTTTAAAAAAACTGCCTTCAGCTGCCTCCTGAAGATCAAAAGTACAGGGGACGGGAGTTTGTTCCATAATCATGGGGCTGCTACCAAAAAGGCCCCTGTACCGAGGCCTCCCACTTTGCAGGTGAGTAAAGTTCTTAATATGGAGCTGTGGTGGCTCAAGTGGTTAAGACACTGAACTGCAGGCTGTGGAAGGTCAGTAGTTCAGCAGTTCAAGACCCGAGTGTGCCGCATGACGGAGTGAGCTCCCATCTCTAGTTCCAGCTCCTGCCAACCTAGCGATTCAAAAGCAAGAAATTGCAAGTAGATATATAGGTACCACTTCAGTGGGAAGGTAACAGCCTTCCGTGCGCCTTGTTGTTTAGTCATGCTGGCCACATGACCACGGAAACGTCTTCGGACAGTGTTGGCTCTTCGGCTTGGAAACGGAGATGAGCACCGCAACCCTAGAGTCGGATTCGACTGGCTTTTGAGCAAGGGAACCTTTACCTTTACCTTTAAAGTTCTTAATAGGGTATCTTGTGGCTGTAGCCTTCACTCCACAGACACGATCCACGCACTGTCCTTGCCCTGATACACTGATGCTGTGTCGACACACTGAATGCTGTTACTGGAGCCCCCGTCCCTCCCCCCCCGGCAAGACAGAGTACCTCTTCCCCATTACATGGGCTGTGTATTAAAAGATCCCACCATGTGTAGATAGGCAAAATTCTGCACCCCAGAACTGCAAACTCCACCATTTTCCAATGAAGCCAACTCAGCCATTGCACACCGGGCAGCACAATGTACAAGACCGCAGGTGAGGGTTTCTCCAGGTGCCATTGAGTAGCAGGCACTTTCCCATCAGCTCAGGGGGTCTGAATCCCTCCTGTGCTTCTTCTATTATTTATTTATTATTTATTAATTATCTTTATACCCCACCCATCCTGCAAACAGGCTCATAAGAACATAAGAGACGCCAATGTTGGATCAGGCCAAAGGCCCCTCCAGTCCAACACTCTGTGTCACAGTGTGGCCAAAAATACCAGGTGCCATCAGGAGGTCCAGCAGTGGGGCCGGGACAGTAGAAGCCCTCCCACTGTTGCCCCCCCCAAAGCACCAAGAAGACAGAGCATCACTTGCCCCAGAGCCCCTATCTAGACCTTGTGGCTAATAGCCACTAATGGACCTCTGCTCCATATGCTTATCTAATTCCCTTTTGAAGCCGTCCATGCTTGTAGCCGCCACCACTTCCTGTGGCAGTGAATTCCAAGTGTTAATCACTCTTTGGGTGAAGAAGGACTTCCTTTTATCCGTTCTAACCCGACCGCTCAGCAATTTCATGGAGTGCCCACAAGGAGTTCTTGTATTGTGAGAAAGGGAGAAAAGTACCTCTTTCTCTACCTGCTCTTTCCCATGCATAATCTTGTAATCAGGGTGGCTAGCAAGAGCGGTACAATGTACCTAACTGGCATAGCCATAACATTTAAAACTATATAAAATACAACTAACTCATATCACATAATGACATAAAAATTAACAATAAAATGCTCGCAGTGCTGACAAATTAGATGGCCCCCAATCCTCTCCTTCCAGACATGAGACCGAGGCCTTTTCCACAAAGTTTGTTTGCCCTGTGTTCAGGGCTCCTGGGAGTTTTCTCCGCAATTCCCCACAGCTTCATGGTGCATTCACAGACCACCTGGGTTTCCCCCAGCTTTTCTCCAATCTTTCCCACTAAGTTTTGGGAAAGTTCACAGCAAAGCTTGGACGGCTGCCCTGTGGGGAGGAAAGTCCAGATTTCCCCAGTCCCACCAACTTGAACACATGAAGCTGCCTTCTAGAGAATGAGACCATTGGTCTGTCAAGGGCAGTATTGGTTGCCTACTCTGACTGGCAGCCGCTCTCCAGGGTTTCAGGCAGAGAAAGCTCTTTCCCCTCACTTCCTGCCTGGTCCCTTTCACCTGGTGATGTTGGGGATTGAACCTGGGAACCTGGGACCTTCTGCATGCCAAGCAGGTGCTCTGCCAATGAGCTTTGGCCCTTCTCCATGGCTCTCCAGGGTCTCGGGCAGAGGTCTTTCCCATCACCTATTAACCTGGTCCCTTTTACCTGGTGATGCCGGGGATTGAACCTGGGACCCTCTGCATGCCAAGCAGGTGTTCTGCCGATAAGCCACATATCGACGTACACATATAATGGCCAGTCACAATGTCAAGGACCAATAAAACATGAATGGGGCAGGGAAACTGCAGGGAGCCCCCTGTCTGGGAGCCCCATAGCTGCTGCCCTGTATTGGCTGTGCCACAGGGACTTCGGGCTTCCAGAGGAAAACATCGCCAGCCTCCCCCCCCCCCCATGCTCTGGGTGTTCCAGGGAATGCAGCTGACTGCTGACCCTTGACCGGAGTGCTCCTGACACATATGAAGCTGCCTTCTACCGAGTGAGACCACTGGCCCGTCAAGGGCAGTACTGGCTACTCTGACTGGCAGTGGCTCTCCAGGGTCTCAGGTTAGAGGTCTTCCCCTCTTACAATTTGGGGATTGAACCTGAGATCTTCTGCATGGCAAGCAGGTGCTCTACCACTGAGCCACAGCCCCTCCTCAGTACTGCCTTGTCCGGCTTCTACATCCAAGCCTTACACCGCTCCTGGGGGCAACTGAGCACCACATGTCACGCGGGCTAGCATCCTGCCACCTGCCGTCGACAGGCCTTGGGGAAAGGAGGGGGCCGCAACGGCACCACCCCTGACCCTTTCCCTTCCTTTCCAGGGGCCTGCCTGCTGAGCGAGTGGTCCGCGTGGAGCCCCTGCAGCGCCAGCTGTGGTGGAGGCACGTCTGAGAGGAGCCGCAGCCCGGTCTCCCCCCTGGGGGACCCGTGTCCCTCCCCGCTGCTGCAGCACCAAGCCTGCAACACACACAACTGCACCCCAGGTGAGCTCCCCCCACCCCCCGGGAGGCAGCCCCATGCCACTCTGGGGCAGTTGCTCTGTCCACCAAGAGGAGGCAGGAGACATGTCTGGGACGTGCCTCAGGGCCCAAGAGGGCAGAGACAGTCGCCTGTTCCATGTTGACGTGGAGGAGTCGTATTCCTTGAAATCCTTCATGTGAGGCAGTCCCTGCAATGTAGGGATTCATGCTCTGTCCCACTTTGCACCCAAGTTGCCGTCGTTGGGTTGGGAAGTGCCTGGCGATGTGAGGGTGGAGGCTGCTGAGGTTGGGGTTCAGGGAGGTGAAGGACTTCCATCGGGGTTTCATGCCACAGAATCCACCCTCGGAGGCATCCAGTTGCTCCAGGGAAACTGGTCTCAATCACCTGGAGATCGGTCGTCATTCCAGGAGCTCTCCAGGCCCCTCCTGGAGGTTGGCACCCCTACTTTGCACTGGAGTGGATCTGTAGTCTCAGGAACTCCCAGCAATGCTCCCTCTAAGCCATGGAGTCTTGTGAGCACAAATCCTACTTTGTGAGCTGCTGGCATTAAAAGTTGTGAGCCAGCGATTGGGCTCCTGCATAAAATTAGTTTGCTCTGGAGCCCCATCCTCCCTGAGCTAAGACAAAACTGTGTGAGCCAGAGGCTAAAAAACTGTGAGCTAGCTCACATCAACTCAGCTTAGAGGGAACACTGACTACTAGCAGCCTCTCCTGAACGTGTCCTCTTTGCTCCAGTCCACATCCTGGGAAAGTGAGCTGGGGAATGAGCCCTGAGCGGCTGCCTGCCAGGGCCCGGCAAGCAGAGGCAAAAGGCTGGAAGCCTCTGCCTGGCCTTGGAAGGATCGTCTCCGCTGGCTCAGATGGGTGCAGCACGCAGCATTCGTTCAGCACTGGGCTTCAGCACCGAGGGTGGGACTTTGGCCGCATTCTCCAACTACAGCAGTTACATTTGAGTTATCACCTTTGTGAATATTATCTGGTTGGGAGCCCGTTTATGTGGATCGTCATACACCGGACTGTGAACCCTTCATGGGTCCATGATAATCATGTGAAATTGTCCTTTTTTGTGACATGATACATGGACTGACACAACAGACACAATTGAAAAAGATTTTGAAACGAGCTCACATCCGGAATCCTTGTCTCATTTGGTGTAGTGTTTGGTGTTGTGGTTAGGAGTGCGCGGACTCTAATCTGGGAGAACCGGGTTTGATTCCCCACTCCTCCACTCGCACCTGGCTGGATGGCCTTGGGCAAGCCGTAGTTCTGACAAGAGCTGTCCTTGAAAAAGAGCAGTTTCGGTCAAGAGCTCTCTCAGCCCCACCTACCTCACGGGGTGTCTGTTATGGGGAGGGGAGGGGAGACGAGTTTGTAAGCCGCTCTTAGACTCCTTTGGGTAGTGAAGGACGGGGTACAAATCCAATCTTCTTCTTAATGACTAATGTGTATTATTGATTCCACGACTGTAGACAGAGTCTGGAGCCACATTGCTGATGAAGACATTTACAATGTCTCTATAATGGTTTCTACGCTGATTTGGATTATATGGCTCCTTCAAAGTTATGAGCCGGGCTTCATTTATGATTTTTTGCTGTATCTGTTGTAACACTGATTGTTATATTCATTGTCTTTTAGACATTTGGTAACATTGTTAATAAAGTTTCTATTTTAGGGCTACACAGTGTTTATACTCCCTTCTACTGAGATGGGCAGGGTCGCCAGCTCTGGGGCTCTGGGTTGGGGAATCCTGGGGGATCCGGAGGATGGCGCCTGGGGAAGGCAGAGGCTTTTTTTGGGGGGGCAGTGTTCCCGCTAAGCCGAGTTAGTGTGAGCCAGATCACAGTTTCTTTAGCCTCCGGCTCACACGCTTTTGTCCTAGCTCAGTGAAAAGTCCTGGGTTCGATGCATGGAGGACTCGGACTACGACATGGGTTCAGACGCGTTTATTGTACTTCACAACAAGACAAGGAATAACGGCCCTGCAAGGCCAACTATATACACTCCCACCCGGCACACCTCTGTCCCCATAGGAGGGTTTGAATTCCCCATCAAAGTTGGATCCGAGGTCCCCTTCGTATTTGGGGACCAAGCTCCTGCTTTAGCTGCGGACCCCTGGTGGCGGTCCATGTACATAACACTCAGGAAGGAGGGCTCCAGAGCAGACTAACTTATGCGGTAGTGAAATTGCTTGATCACAACTTGAATGCCCAGGAGCTCAGAGGGTAGGATTTTTGCTCGCAAGACTCCACCGTTTAAGAGGGAGCTCTGGAGGAGAGGGGCCTCAGGAGAGTGTCCAAAGCTGCCGTTTTCTCCAGGGGAACTGATGTCTGTAGTCTGGAGATGAGTTCTGGTTCTGGGGGGATGGGAGGTGGGCGGAGAGGCAGGCTGGACAACCCCCCTCTGACCTGTCTGTCCCCCCCTCCTCCCCCACCATGCCAGAGTGCCCGGGGGTCCAAGTCTTCAACACCTGTGCCAACGCCTGCCCACAAGCCTGCTCGGACCTGCGCCCAGAAACCCAGTGCCTGCAGGAGGGGTGCCAGCCCGGCTGCTCCTGCCCCTCTGGCCAGGTGAGTGCGTCTGTATTGCCCGCCCGGCGGGGCACACACCTGCTGGCCCTGCCGTGGGCCCTCCATATCTGAGCCTCCTCTTGACCCGCAGGTGATGCAGGACGGGGCGTGCGTCCCCGCGGAGGCGTGTCGCTGCTCCCTCGGCCCGGCCTCGGCCTTGCCCTGGGCTGCCAACCTGTCGCAGGAGGAGCAGGCCAAGGAGTACCCGCCTGGCACGGTCATTCAGCACGAGTGCAACAGCTGGTATGGGGGGGGCGAGTGAGGGGCCCTCACAGTAAACCAGTCAGGCCCAGGGAGGGAGGAGCCCCGGGGAGGGGGGTGAAGGGAGGGGGGGCACCCCCCAGGAATTCCTCCTTGCTGCAGACAGAGGACGGCTGGCCTCGGAAGCCTGACTGGCCATACGCTGCTTGTCAAGAGTTCAGAACCACCCCGAAACAAAGGTAGAGGTGCCAACTCCAGGTTGCAGGATCCCTGGAGATTTGGGGGGGGGTGAATCCTGGGGAGAACAGAGTTTGGGGGAGGGAGGCCAGCAGCCGCTTCCCCCAGGGGAACTGATCCCTGGAGACCAGCTGGGTTTCCAGGAGATCTCCAGGCCCTGCCTGGAGGTTGGCTACCCTATGCAAAGGTAAGGCCGATTCCTGGCCCTGCAGAGACTTTTTCCTTGAGAGAGTCCTGTTGAAATAAGTGGACAGTGCAATAAGGGGACGTCACCAGAGTCACACAGCTCCCCACGATGGATGCAGCGCTGCTTGCTGCTGGTGGCCGAGCCGCTTGGAACCAGTCTGTACACAGACATCGGCAGGCCCACCTCCCCCTGGACTCACCTGGCACTGACTCCGCACAGAGGGGGCAGCTCTTCTACCCTTTCCCTCTCAGTAGGGAGGGTGGGGCGGAGGAGGGACACTCCCAGACCTTCCCTTTCTGGCTCCTCCTGGAGGCACCAGATCCGGTAGCCGGCTCTGGTTGGGGGGGGGGGGGGGGGGTTCCTGAAGGCCTGTCGGTGGTGCCTGGGGAGGGGAGGGACTTCGGCAGGGTCTGATGATGCCATCGAGCCCAGGCCTTCATGTGGGGTCCATTTCCCCGGAGACCACTCCTTGAGGGGCCGCGGCTCAGTGGCAGAGCCTCCGCTTGGCACACAGGAGGTCCCAGGTTCAATCTCCCGCGGCATCTCCAGCTAAAAAGGGACAGATCCCAATAAAGACTCGGCCCGTTCTGTCCCGGCGTGGGTCGGAGCTTGAGCTCCCCTGGTGCGCCTGTCCCACCCGGACTGCAAGAGCGTAGGCGGCCGGGCTTCTCTGCTGGGCCTGACTGTGGTTGTCTTTGCAGCGTCTGCCGTAACGGCACCTTCACCTGCAGCCAGGAGCCCTGTGATGGTGAGTGTCCCCCGAGGACCCCACCCTCAGCCTCCCCTTGCCTGCCCCCAAAGGCTGCCTGTTGGACTCCCTTCCTCTGTGACCCCCCTCCCCCCCCCACGTCCTGCAGCCTCCTTGCAGAGGGAGGGGGGGCCCTGGCCTGTTGGGGGGGGCACTGACTGCGGGAAAGGCAGCCCGGATGGAAGAGGACGGTGTCCTGAGGGGTGGTGTCTCCCACGCCCCTCTCTCCTCCCGCAGTGCCGTTCATTTGGGCAGAATGGTCTCCCTGGTCGCCCTGCTCTGTGACTTGTGGCCCCGGAGAGCAGACCTCCCGGCGGCACTGGCTGCAGCAGCGGCTGTTTGGCGGCACTGAGTGTGAAGGCCACGCCGTGCTCCAGCAGCCTTGTTCCCTCCCAGACTGTGGTGAGAGAGAGAGAGGGCGTGGCCTTCTTCTCCCAAGGGCGGCCAGCTCTGGCTTCGGAAACGCCTGAAGATTTGGGGGTGGCACCGGCTGGGGAGGGGGGGTGTTTGGGGAGGACGGGGTTAGCTGGGACAGAGTTTGCTCTCCGGGTTCCTCCGGGGGGGATTGACTTCTGCCCTCTGGAGAGCAGTTGAAATTCCAGGAGGACCCCAGCTCCCACCTGGAGGTTGGCAGCCCCTGCTTCTCCCCCTTGGCCACCAGGCCCCTGTGAAGGGAGCAGGAGGAAGCCTGCCAGCAAGAGCGGGAAAGGGTGGTTGCCAACTCACGCGGATCGCTCTCTCATGCAGCCTGCCCTGACGGAGAACTCTGGCTCCAGCCCGACTCTGCCGGCCGGTGCGAGCGGAGCTGCTCCCAGATCTACGAGGACCCCCCGCAGAACTGCAGCAGGGGAGCAGAGGGGGGCTGTGCGTGCCAGCCCGGGCACTACCGGAACGGCAGCGGGCACTGCGTCGTGGCCGCACACTGTGAGTGTGAGCACGGAGGCCGGGTTTACTCGGTGAGTGTGCCC